GTGATAAAGTTATTGTGATTAATTCGAAGGACTGAATTATATCGTCTAAGTTTTATTTCCAGCCCTCCGGCTAACAATATCATTGGGAAATTATGAAAATGTCAAAACTTGATTATATTATGGAAATCTTCGTGAGTGGTTCAGCGGTATCAACGAACTTCATGTGTATTTTCTGCAACTTAAAGTTAGATCCTTTATAGAGTGAATAGATTATCAAGAAACCACGAACTTGAAGCATCTTGTAGATCTTGTAGATGGCTGTAATAATTTGGTATAGGTATCGATATTATATTAGCTAGCTAGCAAAGTCAAGTTCGAGCATGGTGTAATGGCTGAAACTGACGCAATTTAATGCAATTATTTTTGAAACGCATAAATAATTCCAGTTATATGACTTACTTGAAAGTGGCACGTAATAATTTATAAATTAAAATTTACTTTTATTTTATAACAAACAATCACATTTAGTGCATATCACCAATTTATGTGCTGCTGCCATCCATCAATTGCGATCTTCGTAAATGTACTTAATTGCTGGTGGATTGATGTTCATGCGTAACAAATTGTAAAAGATAGATACAGTAATTACTACAAAAGTTATTAATAAGTTAATAGACAATTAATCGGTTCCTAAGATTTTCAACTTTTTAAAAAAAAGATTTATATTCAAGGAAAATATTTTACGACTTAGTGGTTGGACAATAATTCCTGCGTTAAAGGTGATAAGAAAATTTAGGGAGTAATTCCAAATATTGCTCCAGAAGTTTTATGTGGACTCAAGATAACATCGGAATAATCATTAACTATGTGCGGGTAGACAGAAAATATTACAAGAGTCAAGCATTAGATACTTTAAAGGTAAACCGTGATTATATACATTGGCAATGAACAGACAATGTTATATAACAATTATTATTTTTCTAATTATGCAAGCCTATTATAATTGAGTTCTAGAATTGTGATCTATTTTACGTCAATTAAAGAGATATAAGGTTAGATGCACTTTACCATTTTGAGAAATTTAAAAATTCATAAATAAAATATTACAATCGAATTACGAGGCATAGTAAGTAAATCATGTAAATCATATTTTCTGTAACTTATTTTAATTACAATGTGAATAAGATTTTTAAATTGTCTAATCATATAAAGCAAGCATCTAATCACATTATTAAGCCAAGCGTGGTAACGAATATTGAAATTCTAATATATAAATTAGCAAAGTTTAGAATGGCCAATTTTTTTCGCAATGTTAAATGAAAGGTTAAATCCCCCATTTCAATGAACGATAATCGTAAAATTAAAAAGTAAAAAACAAAAAAAAAGGAGGAATAATTGGAGTTCTGAATTTTCCTTAAGTTTACTTTAGTAATAAGCGCCGCTTCATTTCTTGTTTTGTTGAAATAGTTATGTTTATCAGTTTCAACGTTAAGAAATAAATTGTATTTCTTTATTTGTTATACAAGTTAGTTTTGCGTAAAGATGTTTTGTAATATCTCATTGGAATTCAAAAATTTGTTAGAATTAGATCAACGGGGCGTTGTGTCGAAACCTTTACTCTCCATTCAATTTATTGGACTTGAATTATCTTAGTTTATTTAATTTAATTTAATAACTCGATCTTTAACAATTATATTAGATAACTTCAGGCACAATTCCTTCCGATAGAGACTCTTTTTCTGCTGTCCTTGGTAGTAAAAATTATTGTAACATCAAATTAAATAATCTCAATAAAAACGATTGCATGGACAACGAATAATAATTTTCGGAGGGTTAATAATCTTAACAATATCAAACCTTTATGTATTACCTTTATGTATTAGATTTAGTAAATTTTGAATGTTACATTCCAAAAATTTCGGGATCAATTCCGGGTTCTAGATATTGGCATCAGGTGAATGTAATCAGAAAGTATGTTTATAACTTTTGATAATCTTTGTTTACATGTGAAATTTACCATAAATTTATTTTAACCTTTATGGCGTTTGATTATGATAAAAATGGTGGTGATATTTTATTGCTTTATATATTAGAAGTAATGAAGAATAAGTATGGCCAAATATTTTTGATCCTACGATAGTTCTCAAAAACCTGATTTATAAGCAACGCTCACACAACGAGCATACAATCATCATTATTACCAATTCAAAATATAGCTCTATGATTATATATCGGAGAGAAATTTCTGTCATTTGGAGGATTCCTCTTATTTAGATGGAATAAAAAGAAAAAATGAAATAATAGTAGAGCAATACCAAAGCCAGGAAATGACGGCAACAATTACTTTAATCAAGTTTAGCAAATTCTACGCAAAGAAGAAATAATATCGATGGGAAAGAAATAATGCTTGCAACACCATCAAGTAGTATTATTTATGATCGATGAAATACCAACCGAGAAACGATTATTCGACAGCATCTACAAGTGCCGAGGTAAAAATCCATCGTCATTACAAAACATTGTCTTGGAAAATTTTAAAAATGACATATCCAGGTTGTTTGGTAAGACGTTATGCAAAACAAAAATAAAAATGGGCTTTTTTATTTTTTTTTAATCCATATAAATTTAGATTTTTCTAGAAATAGTATGATTTATTTTTATTTTTTATACAAAAGTAATACTTCTAAAATTATTATATTATGTAATAATAATACCAATTTAAATAAAACAACAATCAAAATTCTTGAATAAGTTATACGGTTATAGAAATATTTTCAAAATGGTAACAATGGCTTGATTTCTATTAACTTCTATTTGAATAAATTGTTTAGCGATGATGATATTTTTTATGTTGTAAGCAAAAATAAATAATTCTATTAACTAGTTTTTCACTGGACAACTAATCAAATTCAGAGCTTTATTTTATTTTTTTTATTTTTTGAGACATTAAATGTCCGAAGGACGTAAGAGCAAATGAATTCTAAAATATTATCAACTACACTAGAATATGCAAAAATAAAATCAGTAATTATTTTTTTTTGATTGTTTTGTTCTAATACATTTGAAAATAAATTTAGTTTTTCTAGGATGTTGAATTATTTAAAAAAATTAAAACATATATAAAATTTATAATATAATATATTGTTATAATGTAATGAATCACTGTTTTATCGACACTAATTTTTCTTACAGAAAAAATTTTAATTATTGTTTAAAAATTAAATAACTTGTTTTCGAGATGAAATCATTTTGAGAATGAATAAATTAATACGGTTCTCGTGTTGATAGCTTATATAGTTAAAATTTGAGTTTGTAATATTTGTGCGAATGTTTTAAAAATTCATACGATTTATTATATCTTATCATATGAAACGCAATATTTATATAATTTCATTTCATTAATTTTTTTTATATAATATGTCCAAGATTCCTCGTATAAAATTGCTTGTTATTATGGAAAAGTATCGTATCATTGAAAAATTCAAACAATTATTATAAAATTTTATTTAAATAAGAATTTTATACGGTGACTCAAAAAACAAATTAGTGCAAACGTTTTTAAACTCAGTTTGAATAATTATTGGGCAGAGATAATGAAAAATTTTATGTTGCAATATTATTTTTATGTTCTCGGTAGGTAACTATTTGGTGGGGCATTGAATTTGGTCTTATCAATGACTTGGCAAACAAAATTATGAATTATTCTAAAGGATATTGCATAATTGTACATATTATAAATAAATTATATCTCACACAAAATATTTCTCTAAAATAATTTCTTACTGTGACTTCCCTTTAGCATAGAGAGATGAATGCTGAAAAGCGTGTACCATGTTGCATCATCTTTATATTAAAATTTATAGTAAACCTATTTAAAATAATAAATTTCACCATAATTATTTTTATTGTCCCAAATGCGTATGTTCAAAAGATTCATATATTGCATCATAATTTACATTATTGAAACTTTAAAATAAATTATCTAGTAATATAATGATTTTCAAGTACTTTAGTATTTTTTTAACATTTTCTCATTATATTATTTGGTTGATTTGGTTGCACAAAAAAAAAACTTATACTTACCAGTTTAAAATAATTCTACCCAAAATTGATCGAGTAACTTAGATTGTGAAGATATGGTTTTTTTTTTTTTTGCAATAAGGTAACTGTATCAACTGTATCTGATATTCTGAGTTGTTTGAGTATCCGAAAAACCGATCTTAATTAGGACCTGCCGAATATATTTTACATTTGCTTAAATATAAAACTTATTGAAATGAAAATTTAAAAAATTATATAATATAGAAATAATAAAATTTATTTTGAAAAATACTACAATTATTAATCTTGCGGAGGCTAGTAAACTTGTATTATCTATTCTGATCTCATTTTTAAGGACCGGAATTATGTAATTACAGTCAGTACGTGCTGGAATTCTGGCCGGTATTATCTTGATTCAGAATCCAATCTTTACTTAAGTATAATTTATGTAGGCGTATCTTGTATTTCTATTGTGCTTCAAAAATTGAAATTTAGTTTTGTGCTGATCGCACAAAGGATACACCAATTTGGAATCCTGGCCAATTGACTTAAATTTCTGCAATGTAACGAAATTTATAAATGCATAATGAGTATACGCAAGGTTTTCGTATAAAGGAATTAATTATTTCGTAATTTCTTTAAATGCAATCATGTCAAAGAAATATTCAGCACACCTCGTATTGTGGTTTTTAATTCAATTATTGACTAAAGTAGAATGTCAAACGACTCTTTTTAAGCCAATACAACGACGTGGTCATACTGCTACACTCATAGATGATAAACTTTACATTTTAGGTGGAAGAAATAAAGATTATCCAGAAGTTGGCAACGAATTTTTTTATACTGATGTCTCCGTTCCATTCAACACTAAAAATATATTATGGAATGATTTAACAAGCATTAATGCAGTTCCAAAGCATAATGCTGCTGCATCTGTTAGAGGAGGTGCAAATAATAAAACCTTGTTTTTATATGGTGGATTACCTTACGCGGATAATGAAGTAACAATGTCTTTAGTTTACACATTTGATACACTAAGTAATTCTTGGAGTATTCCAACAATAAATGGTGGCAATACAATTAGAAAAGATAACCTAAAAGCTATCGTTGATGATAATGGGAAAATGTATTTATTTGGTGGGCAATCTAATGAAACCATTACAAATGATATGCTTATTTTAGACACAATAAATTTGAAATGGGGTATCGGTAGTTCAATTAATGCTCCTTCTCCAAGAGTTGTTTATGGTGCAACTTATGTCTCAAATCAGTTTTTATTATATATTGGTAAGTAAATAATTATCATCAAATATTGTTATTATTCATTAATTTCTGTTATTTCTTATTTTCAGGTGGCTTTATCTCATCTGGTACTGATGGTGTATCTCTATCATTGAAAGAGGTGAATTATTAAAGCGATATACAAATTAAAAATTTTGAAAGTTTATTTTAATTTAAAAATTAATCAAACTAGATCTACTTCTATGACATGGTTAAGAATACAAGGGTATGCTTATTGACTCCCATTTAATAATTTTTTATACTTTTTTATAGCCAAAAAAATCTAAACTATTAATGAATAATTCAGGAAACTTCTGGTTCAATTCCTTCTGATAGAGATGCTTTTTCTGCCGTACTTGGTAATATTTTATTTAAAAATAAATAGATAAATAATATAATATTTAAACTTCAATTAATTACAGTATCATTCAATTTAATAAAAAGCTTTGGACGGGCAACAAGTAATTATCTTTGGAGGAACTAATAATCTTAATAATCTCAAACCTCAGGAAGCGCTTTATGTATTAAATTTGGCAAATTATGAGTGGTACATTCCAAAAATTACTGGAATTATTCCTGGTTCTAGGTATTGGCATAAAGCGAATGTGATTGGGAGATATATGGTCATATCATTTGGTAAATATTTTAATCGATTTTCTTTATGTCATTTATTCACAAAATAAATTATAATAATTATAAAATGTTTAGGATTTAGTTATGACAAAAATGTGGATAAAGATATTTTATTACTTAATATAAGTAATAATGAAGAATATATGTGGACAAACTATTTCGATCCAAATGTTCCAACAACCGTTGCTTCAAAAGTTACAACAAATTCCTCCACAACAGCTACGCCAACTAATGTTTCATCAGGCATATCAATACCAATTATAGTTGGTGCAACTGTAGCAATATTATTGGATGCTATTTTTCTATTGCTTGGAGGCTTTTACTTTTATAAATGGAAGAAAAATAAAAAGGAAAATATATGTGCTATACCAACTTCTGGACATGCAGGCGATATCGATTTTAATAAAGAAGCATCAACATTTCCTATCATGAGAAGTGTTAATAATTCTAGGAAAGAAAGAATCTCTGCAATACCAGCAAATAATGCTTATTATTACGAACAAAAACCGTTACCTATACCAGAAAATATTTATGGTTATGGACAACAAACAGTACCTATACATGAAAATAACAATTCGATAGCAATTTCAAGTGGCAATAATCAAAGATCATCAGAACAACATATTGACTTGGAAAATCTTAAGAATGATATAATTCAGGTGGTTAGGTAAGAACTTGCACAAAATAAATACAGATAAATTATTTCATACGGAATTGATTAATTTCGCATATTTTATACTGTATTTTGATAATATTAATCTTCTTTTAATAATACAGTCAATTAATACAATGCTATCTTTATTATAAAAAAACTTTAAAACTGACAAGTGTTGACAAGTGTTTATTTCATTGGTTATGGAATGATTAAATAAACTTTTAAATTAAAACTTATCATTATATTGCATTAGAACCTTTATTTATTAAAAAAATTAAAGAGATGTTAAAATAAATTAATTGATCTTTTTAATATGTTTTCTGTTGTTAAGCTTAAACTGTTCGTCGTTAAGTTAACAAAGATTATTTGCTAGCAGGGAGTTTAAGTGCGTCTAAACT